GGACCCCCGTCCTGCCCTGGGTCTGCGCCCCCTTGTCCGGGACCCCCCTGGGTCTGCGCCCCCTTGTCCGGGACCCCCGTCCAGGCAGCTGCGGCTTTCCTGTCTGCAGAGGGTGATTCTTCCTCCCTGTGCTCCTAGCCCGTCCCCAGCCCACAGGGCCCTGACGCCCACTGCTGAGGGGCTGCACCGGGCTTCTCTCCCTGGTGAGGCCTCCTCCTGCCGGTCCCTGGCCCCCTCCCTTCCAGCAAATGGCCCCTGCAGGGTGGGGGCTGGACCTTCAGCTGTCAGCTTCCTGGTTATCTCCCTCCCATCCCCCATGTAACCCCGCCTGTCCCCCCCACCCCTGACTCCTCAGCTTCTTCCCTCCCTGTAGGTTGGTCTGGCTGGATGTCAGGGGCACAGAGGAAAGGCAGAGAGGACAGGGACCCTGCACCTGTCTTGGAGGGGTGAAGGTGTGGCCTCGGCGGCCTCAGTTTCCAGAGGCTCCACTCAACCCTGTACGCCCCACATACCTCGAGTTAGGGTGGACGTGGGCGATAGCCATGGAGGGGCCATGGGAGGCTCCAGCCAGCAGGATGCCCTGCCCCTCCTGGGGGCTCCCCCTGCCTGGCCTGGAAATGCAGGTAGTGGGCTCCCAAAGGCAGGGCCAGCCCCATCCCCAGCCCGAGGTCCTGAGCATGGTGCTGGGATGCAGCCCACCCTAGGCTTAGAGGCTGCCGACCCTGCCAAGCCTTGCACACTGGAGTGATGTGCTACCACAGAGGGGAGGCCAGGCAACCAGGGTCGCCTCTGGCCCCTGGCCTGAGGTGGACAAGAACAGGTAGGAGCCCCTGGGAGATCTTGGCCTTGTGCGGTGGCGCTCTACCAGCAAGGGTTGTCCCTGTGGCCTTCATGTTGGATTCCCACCACATGCGCTGTGACTTCTAAGTTGGCCTTGGCCGGAGGCAGGAGGAGAAAAGCACCCTGATTTCCTGGCCCTGTCTGGGCTGGTGAGCCTTGGGTTGAGGGGGTGTGTCTTGCCTCCCAGCTAGGCCAGACTCTTGGAAAGCCCTGTGCTGGGCCACGATGGGGACCCCATCTCTTTTCTTTGGTGACCCTCCCTCTTCCCCTGGACTTCCAGCCCCTGGAGGCCCCAGCAGAGGCCCCGGGGGTCCTCCCGTCTTGGCCTGTGGACCTCTTCCCTCCCAGAGGGCCACCACCAATCCAGCCCCTGCGCCTTACCAACCCACTGCCAAAAATCCAGTACAATGCAGTCTCGTGTCATTGTTTCTTCTTTTTGTTTCTTTTTTGTTTGTTTGTTCTTTACTTTCCCCTAATTGTTTGAAACTCACAAGCTATAACTAAAATAATTTCTTTCCTAGAAAGAAAAGGAAAACAACAGCACATTGTTGGTCTAGCTCCAGTGTATGGTGGATATAGCAGCATTGGAAATAAAATTAAAACCACAAACACAAAAATCAAGGCAGAGGGAGGTCACGTCCCCAGAGGCGTGCAGGTCATCGTGCCACACCGTGCCCTCCCCCTGCCTGGGTGTGGGCCCTCGGGGCCAGGGGCTGGGGGACATTTCACAGTGGCAGAGGCTGGGCGAGGAGAGGTCTCCGCATGGCAGCAGCCGGTGGGAAGTCCCTGTGGGCACTGGCCCGGGTCCAGCAGCAACCTCGTGTTCCATGGTGGGGTGGACGAGTCAGGCGGAGACGAGGAGCCGCCAGCCAGAGGCTCCAGGATGCACAGAGCGCGCAGCCGCCGGGCCTGGGGTCAGTCCTGGCCATGGGGGCTGGCAGGGAGGCCACCCCTCTGGGGGTTGTGGGGCCTCCGCCCCGGCGGTGGGGACTCCCCCTCCCCAAGCCTCCCCAACAAAACCACCCAGATCAAAGGGAGCCTCCGGGGCAGGGTATGGTGCTGGGCAGGGCCCGGGCGGCAGCTCAGGCCAGTTGCTTGGGCAGCCTTGGGGTCTGAGCCCCTTTCCCGCCTTCCCCTTAGGAGGGACTGTGGCCCAGAGGGGGACAGTCTGGGGCAGGGACTGGAGGAGACTGTGCTCCTCTCCTGTGGATGGGAGATGTGAGGCCAGGGAGGAGGGCAGGCCAGGGGCCAGCAGAGGTCCCTGCTGGTCAAGCCAAGCGTGGGGCCTGGCTGGGGCCTGGGCGACAGTAGGACTGGTCCCTGGGAAGATGGCCCAGGGGGTCTGAGGCCCAGGGCAGAGCCAGTCCTCAGGGTCCGGGCCCCTCTGCTGCTGGGCTCCACGTCCTCTCCCCAGGCAGCCCTGGTTCCTGGGGTTCGGCAGGGTGAGGACCGGCTGTGCGGTAGCGTTCCGCGTTGGGGCTCTGGCAGATGCCAGGCTGAGGGAGGGGTGCCCCAGGCCTCCAGGCCCCTGAACTGTTCCGGAGCACCGAACTTGGCGGCTGGACCGCAGGGCCCAGGGGAAGGGGTGGGAGGAGATGCCAGCCCGCGGGGTCTCCACGGCCAGTTCCCCCACGACCTGCGCTCCACACAGGCCAAGCGGGGTAGGGGGGCCCTTACAGATGGGCTGCGGGGAGGAGGACGGCAGCAGGGAGCCCCGCCCCCAGGGAGCCCCGCCTTCTCCCCACCCGGAAGCCCCACCCACGGAACCCCGCCCATCCAGGGAGGAACCCCATCCAGGGGGCCCCGTCCTGGAGGGAGCCCCTGCCCCGCCCCCGTCCAGGGAGGAGCCCCCGCCCCGCCCCCGTCCAGGGAGGAGCCCCGGCCCGGCCCGCGGCCGCTGGCGCTACTTGCAGGTGTGCACGTCGTAGACGCGCGCGCACTCTTGACAGCTCACGTAGCAGCACCAGTGGAAGACGCAGTGGCACTTCTCGCGGCGCCGCTCGGTGCGCGCGTTGTGGCCGCGGCCACAGCACAGCAGGTCGCAGCCGTCGATGCCGTGCGAACTCACGTTGCACGTGCGGTCGCGGGTGCCGAACGAGCCGGTCTCGGCGTTGGGCTCGCAGAAATTGGGCGAGGCCTCGTAGTACACCAGGTCGCGCTCCGTGGGCACCTTGAAGTAGGTGTAGCGCGGCCGCAGGGTCTCCACCCAGCCGCGCGACTCGCGGTGCTTCTCCACCACCATCTCCGAGGCGCTGTCGTACTTGTCCTTGAGCAAGTCACCGATGGCGCGGAAGTCGGGCTGCGACCACCAGCACGTCTTCACCTCGCAGCTGCCCGACAGCCCGTGGCACTTGCACTTGAGATGCATGTGGCTGGCGATGGCCTGCAGGGGCGCGCCGAGGGGCGTCAGGGCGGGCCCTAAGCACCCCCCTCCCCGGTTCGGTTCGTCTGCGCGGGGGTCCGTCTTCCCCCCACACCCCGGGGCGTGCTCCTTGCCTGCGGCCCCCCGCCCCATGAGCTCCTGGCAAGCCCAACGCAACCTGTCTCCTCCATAGAGGCCCTTCTCCGGGTTCCTGGCGCCGCCTCTTCGGTGCGGGGCAGGTGCCTGTGCAGGTCCGCGCCCTGGCAGACCCAAGATCCCTGGAGAGCAGGGCTGGGAGCCTCACCCCTCTCCGGGCTGGGTCAATTTCTACAGCCTTTATGACTGAGTGAGGGAAGGAAGGCACAGTAACAGTAACTGACGGTCTGGTCGGGGCATGCGGGAGAGAGGACATGATGCTGACCTGGAGAGCCTAAGACGCAGCCCAGAGGACATGTACGTGGCGGCAAGTCTGGGGGCTGACCTGAGCGCACGTAATGGGGGTGGCTTGAGCAGAGCACCTTTAGGGCCCAGGAATCTGGGTTTATGGGGCTGTAAGGGAATTCCAAGAGGAGGGAGGGAGTGTGGGGGGACAAGGCTGGGGGACTTTGGGGTCCTGAAGGCCAACAGCCACAGGGCCTGGCTGAGGAATGGGTTTTTTCCCTTCCCTCAAAGGCGAAGGGATGGGGTTGGGGGCGAAGGGGCGTGTGACTCAATCCGACTGTCTATGGTGGACACCTACCACCACGAGCCCTGGAGATGTGGCTGGTCCAAAGTGCACTGTGCTGAATGCTGGCTCTCACAGAGTCCCCAGACTTCATGCAAGAAGAGGGTGTAAACTATCTCCTTCACTAGTTTAGTATTGATGGTGACCATTATTGCAATGATAACATGTTGGGTGATATATCTACCTTAGTAACACTTAATGGTAAAACCAATGTCACCTGTTTCCTTTTTAAATGTGGCTACAAGAACATTTTCAGCTACCGACGCGAGTCCCATTACACCCCTATTGGTCAGTGTGAGGTGGGCTCTGTGTCCGGATGCTGCGTCTTCTACACTTCCCTCTCGCACTCGCCCTTTCCCGGGGTATCAGTAATGACTGCATCCCTCCCCCCAGTTAATCTCCATGTTCTTCTCTTTCCCAGAGGAGAGACCTCTTCAGTGTCTTTAGGTTTGCTTTTATCAGAGTTATATCTGCATATACTTTAGAGTCCGAGAGTTCCTGAGACTCACTCGCACACCCACACAGCACCTTCCTGACCAGCCAAGGCAACACCTGTGCCTCTTAAATCTCCAACAGAATGTTTGTCTTACTGCTTCTTGAGTGTTGGGGGCTCCAGCAATGTCTCCCCTCTCACCACGGAGGGTGGGAAATCAGCTTTTTATCATCACCCCACCACTGCAATACACACCTGCCCAGCGCCCTCCACCCTAAAAACTGAAGCATAATCCGGTCAGATCAATATTCAGCACTGGCCGTATTGGAACTATGTTAAATGTCATACCCAGCCGAGCCCTGTGATAGGATATGGTTCCTTTTCCTTTCCTATAAAACTTTGTTGTTGCTGTTTTTAGTGTACTTATTACAGATTCAGACTCAAACTTTCCCTGAATTGTCTAAATATCCTATGTGAGATGTTCAAACACACCTCGTATTCTAAGATTTCAGCTTCTTGGAGATATCTTTTTCAGAGGGTGTCTGGTAGATTTTGTGAAATGTGCCTGCCCGAAATCACATCTTCTCTACTTAGAAAGTGGACAAGATGGTTTAGCTGGGTATAAAATGCTTGGCTTAGAATCTTATTTCCTTTCAGAACTCTGATAGCACCTCTCCATTTTTATTCCAGCTCCCATTGTTCTTCTTGGGAACTCTGATGCCATTGTGATTCCTGATCCTTTGCATGAAACCCACCGCGTGGAGGGCTCCTCTGTGTTGTAGGCTGTGAATTTCATGGTGATAGGTCTTGATATGGGTCTCCTCTCTCATGTGCTAGAGTCACTTTCTGGGTCTGTTTGGTCTGAAACTTGTGATCCTCAGTCCTGAGAACCCTCCTGCCTTCTTTGCGATTCCTTTTCTTCAAGTTCATCATTGTCTCTCTTGGACAGATCCTCCATGTTCTCCATTCTTTTCCTATTTTCCATCTCTTTGTCTTTTTTCTTCTACTTTGTAGAAGGGTGTCTCAAGTAGCTGCCAACCTTTGTGCTGGGAGTTTGGTTTCTGCTATTCTACTTTTAGTATCTAGCAGCTTTTTCCCCCTCTCTGAATGTTCTTTTAATTTAACATCCTATTCCCCTTTTATGGAAAGAGTACTTTATCTCTCTGGGGATAGTGGCAGATTTTTTTTTTCCTTTAACTGTTTTCAATCATTTAAAAATTTTTTTAAGTAATCTCTACACCTATTGTGGGGCTCAAACTCATGACCCTCAGTCACGCACTCTACCAACTGAGCCAGCCAGGTGCCTGGAATAGCAGTAGTTTTTGAAGTTTTCATCTCTCTTTACAATGTCTCTCTCCCACCAGTTTTGTTTTTGTTTGTTTTGGTCTTCACCTTTGTGGTTGTGAGAGGCCTTCCTCAGATGACCTGTGATCCCTTGGCTGTCTGCTCATATTTAAAAGGAGGACACTACACATCGTGTTGGAAGCTCATGTGCTTGGCGGGGGCTTACCGGCATGGGCCCTCGCTATACAGTGACCTGGCTCCATTATTTCATGGGGGAACCCCAGTCAGTATGTTTGAGTCTCTTCTTGGGTTGATCCAATCCCCAGGGGAGAATCTTCCATTCTCCTGCCTAGAGGGTCATCAAGATTCACTGTGGGATACAGAGACTAGGAAGAGAAAGGCATGTGTAGATGGAGACTACTTTCACTTGGGAAGCCTCACCTTCACCCAGACTGTCCTTGACACACTGTGTCCCTCAGTCCAGACACACTGTGCTTTGCCCTTCCTGGAGAACACCCCTCCTGACTTCTGCCATGGTAAAGGGGTGGGGGTGGGGCTTTGCCTGGATGGAAGGGGTTGGACAGAAGACCTGGTGGGTTATAAACTGCTTTTAAAGTAGATTATGGGGGCACCTGGGTGGCTTAGTCATTAAGCATCTGCCTTTGGCTCGGGTCATGATCCCAGGGTCCTGGGATCGGGCCCCGCATCGGGCTCCCTGCTCAGCGGGAAGCCTGCTTCTCCCTCTCCCACTCCCCCTGCTTGTGTTCCTGCTCTTGCTCTCTCTCTCTCTCTCTCTCTCTCTCTGTCAAATAAATAAATAAAATCTTAAAAAAAAAACAAAGTAGATTATCAACCCATCTTCCCATTTTTAGCCCCATTATTTATCTCTACTTTTCAAGACACCCAATACTAGTAAATCCTGGGCTGGTTCTCAGAGTTCTCCTCTACTGGTTTAAGATTCTACTTTCCCCTAAGACCCAAGTATTCATGGATCTACTTCGTAGTCTGAAAACTTTTGCTGCCACCGTTAGCTCCTGGTTTCCATATGGTCAGGAGTGTTCGTGTATTTATGTGTTGTAACATTCATTCACTGTCATTTTAGTGGGGTTCCGGGGAGTACAGAGGGATGCTTATGTTTTGGCATTCCTCATAGACCCTTCAGTTCTATAGCGGCTATGTGATTCTTTCCCAAGTATATTCTATATTTTTATAGTTTCCAGTTCCCCGCCGAGACATTCATTCAGACTCACGTTTTGGCTTTGTAAACCTAAGTAAGCATATTTCTTTTCTCACAATATGTGTCTCATAATTCCAGTATCTGGAGTCCCTGTGGACTTGTTTCTGTGGTTTTTGCCGATGATCACTCATTGTGTCACCAGCTCATGTGACAGGTTATCTTTAGATTATGTGCTGGATGCTGTGTTTGAAAAATTATTTGTAGAAACATTTTTTGACCTTGAATAAGGTGATCATCCTCCAAAGAGGATTTGCCTGCTTTTTCCAGGTGTGTGGGAAAACCAGCAATTTGGGATCACCATAATCTGTTCTCAGATCTTGAGATTTTTCGAGCCTGCACATGTGAGCAAGGGCTGGTCTACTTCTGGTTTTCCTTTACTCCTCAGGGTCCCAGCCTAAACTGAGGAGCGGTTTTCTAGAGACAGCACCCTTGGTGGGCCCCTCAGCTCTGGGAGACCGCCAGAAGTGCAGCTCAGTGTATGCACTCTGTCCAGATCAGGACAAAAGCTGCCTTGGGTACTGGGCTCAGGACCCTGCCTTCTCCTGGCCCTTGAGCGGCTAACTCCTCACCAGAGGAGGTTACTTCTTTTACACTTAAAATAACTTTATGGGAGCATAATATACATACAAATAGTATATATGTTATAAATGCAAAACCTGACAAAATGTCACAAATTGCCAGCCGCTGAACACCAGCTCCCCAGAAACTCCCATCGTGTTCTCTTCCAGCTGTGCAGAGTCTCCTGTTCGGCCTCCTTATACTCTTTATCGGTGTCTTTTTATGAACAGAAGTTATTTACTTTAATGCAGTCCACATTATGGCTACGTGTTTCTTTCATTGGAAGTGCTTTTTGGTCCTGTTTAGGAAACCTTGGCCTACTCCAAGGTCACAGAAATGTTCTCCTATGTTTTCTTCCTAGCGTGTTACAGGACACTTCTCACATTCCGTCCTGCGTTTGTACTTGTCTTGGGCAAGAAGATGAGTCCGTTACCCTGTCTTCTGTCATTGGCCGTCCAACGCCTCGGTCCCCTGCGATCCCCTGGTTCCAAGGCCAGCACCACCTCTGTGCTGCCGGATCTACGGGAGCTCTCTGGGTCCCACAAGTGGTCTGTGCTCCATTGGCTCCCCATGACCTTCAGACCCAGTCCTTCCAGCTTGGTCCCCGCGTCCCTTCTTCCTCTGCCCTCCCTATGCTATTCTACCGGCTGACCTCACTGGCTGTCGTACGCTTTGGGTTGCTCCAAGGCTCCCGGCTTCCCTCCACCTAGATAACTGTGTTACTTTGCATGCACTCCTTTCAGCACTGCTGCTGGCAGAAGGCTTTTTCTTGAGATGCCAGCCGAGGGTGTGGCTTCTCCGAGGTGCCCACATCACCTTGTGTGTGCTTTTCCTTATCACAGAATGTCCCACGCTGTGCTGTAGGGGCCTCACTGTCCTCCTCCCTGGACATGCAGGCCCTCCTACAAGGCAGGCCTTTCTGCCATCCTGCCACCCTGTGGGGATGCCCTCGACCCTTGTGCAGCCACTGGGCTGGGCTGTTTCAGACAGCCCTGGGCAGTAGGTGAGCACATGCCCGGCCTGGCCACCAGAGACAGCCCTCCCATGGTACTTCCGCCAAGCCACACCCTTCAGGGAACCAGGGCTCACATCCTGTTCAGAAAGCTCCTATTTGCCCAGGACCCTCAGGAATGTGGTCAGAGGGTGCACCCCCCAGACCCCACAGGGCTGCGGTGAGATGGCCCCTCACTGCACCCTCAGGATGCACGGGGCCTGGGGGGACAGCTCCCTGTGCACCTGAGAACATGCAGGGCCGTGCACCCCGAGGACACTCCCCACTGCACGCACCCCCAGGGCCAGCCAAGAGCCACCGACATACCTGGCGACCGGCCTCATTGTTGTGGCGGTTCATCGCGGAGCGGGCGTCTGGCCGGTTCTCCCGCGCATCTGCAAACTCTCGAGACACCATGCCGCCAAACTCGATGTCCTCACTGCAGCCACCCCACTTCCAGCCCTCGCCCGGGGAGCCCTGGTGGCGGCTGCTGCAGCCACAGATAGCCGCGGAGCCCTCGGCACACGAGCGTGTCACGGCGAAGGCCACGCCGGCAGAGGCAATGGCGTGTACAAAGGCGGACTCCCGGGTGGCTGTGGAGAGAGGCGACTGGGTTGGCAGGACCTGGCAGGGGCTGGGGTGGTGGAGCCTGGCCCGGTGCATCGCGGCCCCTGGCTGGGCTGGGCCTGCACCCCTGGGGGTGGGCGTGGGTCCCGGACTCAGTCCCCGAAGTGGCCAGGCAGGGCTGTGGAGGAGAGGGGTGCCCCCCACGCAGAAGACCGAAGGAGGAGGGCGCGTATCAGGAGAAAATACTTGGAGGGCCAACCAGCCCAAGGAGCAGCTCTGGACGTCACTCCCCGTGAGGAGCCGCAGGGACCCCTGCAATCCGAGGGTCAGCTCCTAGCCAGTGCTGGCCAGGATGGGCAGAATCGGAACCCCAAGCGCTGCTGGGGGCAAGGAAATTGGTGCTGCCCCTTGCAAAGTGGTTTGACAGCTCCTTAAAACCAGACACCTACCATGTGACCAGGCCATTCAGCTAGGTATGTGCCCGGGAGGAAACTCAGGTGCTCGCACAGACCAGGAAGCAAATGTCACGGCTACTTTATCTGTAACAGCCCCAGTCTGGAGGCTCCCAAACGTCCACGAACAGGTCAGCGGATAAAAATCTGCGGCCTGAAATAAGTCAGTCCCGGGGATGTGATGCTGCTAACAAATCTGTTCTTTGTGTTTGAAAGGTTGCTAAGAGAATGGGTCTTCACAGGAAAAACAACCGTAGCCATGTGCTGTGATGGGTATTCACCAGACTGACTGTGGTGATCATTTTGCAATGCATACATATATCGATTCAGCATGTCGTACACCTGAAACTAAATATTATATGTCAGCTACAGCTCACGGAAAAAGGAAAATGGAATTCTGTCTAGCAGTAACAGAATAAATGACATGGGTGAATCTCAAATCACCTGCCAAGAAAAGGCAGATAGAAAACAAAACCTCCTTCTTGGGCCCCAACAGCCCAGGGTAGAGACCCCCCTACCCAGATGTCTGCGCCGAAAGCTTCTGGCAGCCTAATGGCCTGTTTGGGTGGCAGCTCCTGGCCCACACACCGTCCACCTGCGCCTCTCATTCTGCCTGCACACTTTCCCCTCCCCCCCCAACTCCAGGAAGGGTCACCCCTTCTGGGTCCTGCTCAAGACCAGTGCACACTTTGCCCTGTGATGAACCCTGCTCTCGGGCCTGGAGACTCTGAGGGCCTCCAGCATTCAGGTTGCTGCTGGCCCCGGGGGCTGGTTCGGAGGCTGCCCAGGCCCCCAAAGGCGGGGGGGGGGGGAACTGAGTCTGGGGAAGTGGTTTTGCAGAAGGGCAGAGGAGGAGGGCTGGAGCTTGGGAAGGAGCTGGTGAGGCTGACCAGGAGTGGACAGAGGCATGTGGGAGGCGTTGAGGGAGGCCCAGAAGCACAGGTTGTGTGGGGGCTTTGCAGAGGCTCGATCCCCAGCCAGGCTTCCTCAGACTACATGAGGGCACCGTGCCTCCTGGGTCTGTGCAGCCCTGTGGCGGGGGTTCGCAGCAGTGACCCCCTGCAGTGGACGGCAAGGGCAGGGGGCTACTCTGTGTGAGCGGGTGGAACTCCCTCATTCCTCCACAAGTGCGTACGGAGCACCTGCTCTTTGCCAGGTTCTGCAGGAGGGAGCATGATGGCCTCCTGGAGCTAATGGGCTGATTAACAGGGATTTAAAAACCGAGGTGAAAACCATGGGCTTTGGAGCTCGGTGGGCCTGGGGCTGAACCTAGGCTTGGTGTCTGCTGCGGTTGCGAGGTGGTCCCGGCAGCCCACCTTTGCTGGGCTGGCAGAAGGGAGAAGGGAGCAGGAGAGACGTGATGATGGGCCCGACCAGGCCTCCCATGCCAGGCGTGGGGTGGGTGCCCCGCGTGTCCCCATGGTCCTCCTGGGCAGCAGGCCTGCACGGTGCCGGGGCTCCCAATGGCTCCCATCATGGGGTGCGGCTGCCTCTTCCCACCCACATCAGTGCCCAGGGGGCTTTTGTCTTGGGAGGGTGATGAGCAGGTGGGCTTCATCCTGGGGGGCGAGCAGAGGCGACAGGCAGAGGCTGTGGGCTGCTCCTGACGCTTCCCCAAGCTTGCACGCCCCAAAGCCCAGGCAGGCAGAGGCAATGGAATGGCGACACAGGTTCCAGCCAGCAGCATGCACACACTCAGACTCACTCAACACCCGACACACCTGTCACTGAAAAACGCACATTGACCATCTCGTGCCTCTCCCCCACACCCCTGGCCTTCCCGTGAGTCCAGCCCTCAGCATCTGTCACCTGCACCATCAGAGGCTCCTGGAGGGAACCCACACCCCCAGCCTCCAGCCTCCCCCCATCCACGTGTGTGTCACACGTCTGTGCACACACACATACTCACAAACACACATGCATGTATGTGCACGCACAAACATGCACGCACACACATGCACACAAACACATGCACACATGCAAACACATGCACACATGTGCACACACAAACATGCACACAAACATATGCACACATGCACACGCACAGAGACGTGCACATATGCAAACACATGCACATACGTGCACACACAAGCCTGCGCACACACAAACATGCACACAAACACATGCACATATGCACACATGCACAGACATGCACATATGCAAACACATGCACATATGTACACACACAAACATGCATGCACACACAAACGTGCACACAGAAACACACATGCACACATGCACGGACATGTGTACACAAACACATGTGCAGATGTGCACATATGCAAACACACATGCACACACAAACAATACACTTATGTGCGCACACACAAACACACGTACAGACATGTGCACACATGCACACATGCATGAGCACGTGTGCATGTGCACACACACAAACATACGCACAGATACATGCACACACAGGCTGAAGGCACAGCCCTTTGTTTCATGCCCACCTAGCCCTGCCTGGTCCCGTCTGAGTTCTTGGGGTTATGTCCTTGCTTGACCTGCACACAGGCCTGCCCCACCTGCTGCCCTCCCGGCTTTGGAGCTGCTCCCTGGCCTCCAGCCACACTCAGCCCCGTCCTCCCCTAGAGTGATTTCTGCTGTTCCCCTGGCATGTGCACCTGCCATTTCCCCTGTCTGCTCTTCAGGCCAGGGTCCAGGCCACACTGTCTGGGTGTGGTCAGTGCCTGGCCACCCCTGACCACTCCTGAATCTACTCCTGATTCATCCCCTCCCCAGCCTGGAAGCTCCCTGAGGCAGGGACTATGTCGTGTTCATCTTTCATTTCCAGGGGCCCTGGGCTGGGACAGGGAGGCCCAGCAGGATCTGAGCCCGGGGGCTGGTTCTCCATCCCTCCCCACTCAGCAACCTTCACTGTCCCCTTTCCCAAAGGCCAGCCAGTCAGCCGCTCCCCCAGATGCTGGACGCCCTTGCCTCGCTTTGCTTCTGTAACACGACCCATCAGGCAGGCATGGAGCTGCCTTCCGAGGGGTCAAAGGCCTCCGTGAATAAATACCAGTGTGACCCGAACATGGACCACTTGTTCTTCTTCTGTCCACCCTCCAGCAGAGCCACGCCTTTACTTTGTCTTCCCGAGAGAATGTTCTTCTCTGAGGGTGGGCTTGGCTCCTTGCTTGCTTGCCCCGCCAGAGCCCCGGCCTGCAGCCTCCCCCGCACGCTGTAGGGGGGCCTGCCTGTATGTCCTGGGCACTCCAGGAACCCAGGGCACACACCCGGGGCCTTTCCCCGCTGCACCCTCTGGCTGCTTCCAGTGGGCCGAGGCCCCTGGTGGCCCTTCTCCAGGCCCTGAGCGCCCAACCCCGGCCCAGAGGGCCAGAACCATTCGTTTTGGAGGAGACTGAGGTAAGGGGAGAGCCCGTGAGCCTAGGGCCTTGTCTCTTCCCCGCACAAGGGCTTGGCTGCTTATCAGGCTCAGGCAGACAGGCCAGGCCACCAGACACACTCCAGGGGAAGGACGTGCTCGGGGCGGGGAGGGGGGCTCCCCCTTGAACTTGGAGGAAGAACTCAGTCCTGCCCTGGTCTGTCACCAGCTGGCTGTGTGACCCTGCCCAGGCCTTCCTCCCTGAGGGCCTCAATCTCCCTTTCTGCCCCGCGAGGAAAGGGCTCATCACACATGACGTCCCGAAGGCTGAGGACACCTTTGTAGCCTGCCTTCAACTTGCTCCAAAGGAAAAGACGCCTCTGAGGAGAGGCCACGAGACCCATGGCCAGAAAAGCGTGAGGTGGTTTGCTCTGGCAAAGACAGCCTGCTTAAAATGGAAGACGCGGCCTCCACGCAGTTGCAGACACCTGTCCCGTCCCACGTTGCCCGAGCGGTCAGGGCTGTGGGCACCCCAGGGGGCAGGCGGGGGACACCCATGGAGGCCTTCTCACCAAAGAATCAGGAAACATCAGACAAACCCAAAAGGCCTGCCCAAGCTCCAACTATTCTTGAGGGCACGGAGGGCAAGGGCCAGGCGGACCTAGGATGGGATCCTGGACAGGCAGAAAAACAGGTGAAATCTGGGTAAAGTCTGGAGTTAAGGTAACACTGATGGATCTTTGTTCTGATGGATGCAGCTGGATTTGTGGGCTGTCAGCCCTGGGGGAGGTCTGGGAGGGGACATGGACTCTGGGCACCATTCCTGTGATGCTTCTGTATGTCTACAATTCTTTCTAAAGAAAACACTAAAATACATGCTGAGGCCGTGCAGAAGGAAGGCCTGCAGTGTGTCCAGGTGACACCCCACAGTAGTGGGGCTTCTGATCCAGGGGTCTCTGGGCAGGTTTCCCCGTGAGCAGGAATCAAGGGCATGCCGGAAAACTTGTGGGGTGTGTGTGTGTGTGTGTGTGTGTTTGGATAGAGAACCCATTGCTTTTACCAGATTTCCACAGGGGTTTGAAAAAGGAAGGTCACGGTCTGACTGGCTGGGGCAGCCTCAGGCTTTGCAGGAGGTGGGACAGGGCTCCCCTGAGGCCGTGGGTGAGGAGGGCACCGTAAGCACCCGGACCAGGGTCTGGAGCCCTGGCAGCTGCCCCAGTCACAGCAAAGTTCTTAGCCACCCACA